ATTCAATAATTCAAAAAGTAATATTCAGGGTCTCCAGAATTCAAATATACGGATTCAAATATGTTTTGAATTGCCGCTTGAATATTATTCATTCCATTAAAGATTCATTACCGAATATTCGATATTCGTTCTCTCAAAAGATTGTTGAATATTTCAAATAAAGTACTACGTAACAATATGTGCCAAGCAGTTGTCAAAAATAGAAGACTTTGAAAATTGTATACTACATTTTTCTAGTAATTTACTACTTAGCTATGAAACAAGTCACAGAATACGGTGTTCCAATAATCACATCTCAGGCTTCTCTTTTTTCATCTTTTCGAAAGCTTTACGTAATCGATAGGCTTTCTTTATTGCTTGTAGTTGTCGATACAATTGAGCTCGAAGGAGTTCTTGATAGAACAAAGTTGAGTCTGCTGCTGGAGGATCATCATCTAAGTAGATACAAGATTAAACGACAAGGAGCAATTACTTTTGAGAAAAGGAGATGACAAAAGAAGAAACTCTTAAAGTTCTTACCAGTCATCTCTTCAGAAACAAGTTCTTCATCAGATGGGATTGTTTGAAGCCTTCGTGACTGTTCTAAAAGTGAATATCCAATAATTACGCTTGGACCAATGAGGCATTTGACAGCGCAATTTGGGCGGTTTCAGAGAACAGAAAGTACGAATGGCAATGACTCTTTGAACATACTTCTTACAGGACTTTCAAGAGAGTACACATAAAAAGCATCTACCTGAGGGATAAGGTGTTATCGTCTTGCGATCTTCGCTGGTTGGAGGATAATACTGCAATCGTGGATACTGCAAATTTGAATGATTAAGAGTAACTGTTATTAAAACTGTATTATTCTTTGCACCCGCATAAAGGCATATACACCAGCTACATTAATGCTTCATTCTCGTGAAAATCTAGATTTTTCTAGGATCGAGCGCAAGAAGTAAGCATAGTAACCTCCTGAGTTTAGAAAAGACAAAGATATTTTAGAGTTGCTTGTAAGTAGCGTACAAGTGTGAAAATAGCGTTGAATAAATATCGCTAGAAGAACTTGGAAAATTGATTGGATCTTGGAATAGAGTGTCAGCAATGATCGTACCATACCATTTTTGATGCAAAGAGGATAGATAAGGCCTGCGGTACATCTTACATGGCACTTCGATCTTAACTCATGCGTTTCCAACAATTCCAAATTCATTTTTGTTCACAAAAGTTGCTATCTATCAGTCTGAAGGGCAATACGATTTTTGTCCATATAGATCGGTTTTCCAGCTCAGCCCATCTATATGAGTTTTGCGGCTTCAGAAGAATTTTAAAAACGCTTTGATTGCCTTTATTTTTAAGTCAATCTTGTATTAGTTTTAGGGTCTTACAGATGCTATTACTCCAGGAAAAAATTTTGAATTTTTTAATTCAAAATTTGATCTTACATAATTGGACGCATTCATTATTTGAATACAGTATC